CTCTCTCTCTCTAATAAATAAATAAAATCTTAAAAAAAATACTGTTCGACAGATACTACTTTATCCACAGATTATAAAGATCAAAAGAATCTATCATTTTATAATCAATACCCTAATAAGAGATATTAAATGCTCAGCTATTACTAGCATATTTTAAGTATTGTGAAGTATTATATCATAAAGATATTAGAGGAAAAGGAGATGAAAAGTTGTCAAAGACATTTTGAGACATACGTGTATTAATATTCACTCAAGGTCAATTCAATGTGAACTCATTTTGAAATACTCAGGATTTAAGTTGAATAAAATTCAAAATATAATCTCAATTAGTTTCTTATTGGAAATGGATAAAATAAAAAATTCTAATAAAGAATCATTTGTCTTTATTTCCAAATAAAACCAACATATTAATAATATATATAACTCTATTTCCAAGTAATAAGTTACTAAAAAGTGTAAGTTAAAGATCACTGTAAAAGCACAGAAATAGATCTGAGGCTATGAGCATTTAATATATGATAAAAGTATTTTAATCTAGTAGGAGAAAGAGGGATAGTTCAGTAGTTGGTTGTGGCATAATTGGGCTTATTTCTGAATGGAAACAGAGCTGACATCCTGTATCACACCATATACAATAATGAATTCCAGATGGATTAAAATGTTAAAATCTCTGTGTGTGTATATACACCCACATATATGAAAAATTGCACACTCTATTCCTTTATCCTCTTCCCTCCAAAATTTCTATAAGCAATACCTTCCTAAGAAACAGAAAACATTGGAAATGGTTTGGGAAACCTATTTTATAGAAATGAAATAGAGAAGAATATAAAGTAGGAATGTTTATTGAAGCACTACTTTTAAGTGGCAAAGAGGAAACAGTCTGAAATATTGAAGTTGGGGAATAGTTGAATAGGTATTGGTATAAGCATACTTGGATATGCAATATAATGTAACCATTCTAAAAACTAAGTTAAGGGGCACGTGGGTGGCTCAGTTGGTTAAGTGTCTGCCTGTGGCTCAGGTCATGATCCCAGGGTCCTGGGATCAAGCCCAGTATCCGGCTCCCTGCTCAGTGAAGCGGGGAGCCTGTTTCTCCCTCTCCCTCTGCCCTCCCCCCACTTGTGTTCTCTCTCCCACACTCTGCTCTCTCTCTCAAATAAATAAATAATCTCAAAAAAATAAAAATAAGAACTAAGTTAAATCATCATTTACTGACCAGGAAAATTCAAAATGCAGTTGAATTTAAAAAGCAAATTACAGAGAAATGTATAAGGTATCATCCATTTTTTGGGTAAAAATATACTAAAATAAATTAGTTGTGTTAATGTTTAAGTATAAAGAAATATATGGGGGATATACACAAGGTTCAAAAATTACTCAGAAGGAAATGGACAGAGGGGAAGGGAGTCAGAAATAATGGAGGACAGATTTTTTTGTTTATTGGTATTGCTTCATTGGTTTGGGTGCAAATGCATTATCTCTGTAATTTTTTTTTTAAAGATTTTATTTATTTGACAGAGAGAGACACAGCGAGAGAGGGAACACAAGCAGGGGGAGTTGGAGAGGGAGAAGCAGGCCTCCCACGGAGCAAGGAGCCCGATGCAGGGCTCGATCCCAGGACCCTGGATCATGACCTGAGCTGAAGGCAGACGCTTAACGACTGAGCCACCCAGGCGCCCCTATCTCTGTAATTTTTGATGAGAAACTTAACAAATAACAAATAACTTAAAATAGGCTTATAAAATAATATAAAATTTCATTTAGCAGTCCTTGTTTTGATAGTAATGCAAAATATTTGAACAAAATATCCTGTTTTTACTAATTCTCTTATTTGCTCTACTTTTCTTTCTTTTAAAAGATTTTTAAATTTAGAGAGAGAGAGAGAGCACATACAAGCGGGGAGAGGGGCAGAGGAAGAGAGAGAATCCCAAGCAAACTCCACACTGAGTGTGAAGCCCACTGTGGGGCTTGATCTCACAACCTTGAGATCGTGACCTGAGCTGAAATCAAGAGTTGGACACTCAACTAATGAGCCACCCAGGGTTCCCCACTCCACTTTTCTTTTCTTTTTTTAAAGATTTTATTTATTTGACAGAGAGAGACACAGCGAGAGAGGGAACACAAGCAGGGGAAGTGGGAGAGGGAGAAGCAGGCTTCCCGCTGAGCAGGGAGCCCGATGTGGGGCTTGATCCCAGGACCCCAGGATCATGACCTGAGCCGAAGGCAGATGCTTAACGACTGAACCACCCAGGCGCCCCCACACTCCACTTTTCTTAAATTGGTTATAAAATATTTTACGGGCGTACGCCTGTAACAAAATAACTCAATGTTTTTAAAAAATCAAAACCCTCTAATATGGGATCTAAGAAAAAAGGAAGTGGGGAATGGAAGGACAGACCTGTAACTTTGGATATTATATGGGATTTTCCTTCCAAGAATGGTATCTATTCAATGCAAGAAGTTGCTGCTAAGCGTGAAAATTGAGGCATAGAAAAGATCTATTTCAAAACACTAACCTAACCTAAACAAAGTTAAGATGTGGGACATTTTCTTAACTTCAGATTTCTTAATCTAGGACTTTTGGTAGGCTTCCACACTCTGATGATAGAGTTAAGTAGTTCCAGCAGAAATAGTATGGCTCACAGGGCTAAAATATTTACTATCTGGCCATTTATGGAAAGGCTGCTAACCTTTCATCTAGAACACAATACATAATTCCAGTGACATTTTTGTTGCTAGTGCAAAACTTGATGGTCAGGCTAGTTTTCCTCTTCACAGGTTAACTATTTTTCAAAATGTATATATATATATATATATATATATATATATATATATATATATAATATCTCAACAATGGGATATGCAACATATAAAATATATCCAATTTTTAAACTTGATATGATGCTTAGAATAAAGAACTACATGTAGAAAATATTGGGGCTGAATCAAGTCCTTTAAAAAAAAATCCTTACATTTGGAGCTTAGTTACTCTATCCCTGGAAATATATATATTTTTTATATTTATTTGACAGAGAGACACAGCAAGAAAGGGAACAAAAGCAGGGGGAGTGGGAGAGGGATGAAGCAGGCCTCCCACTGAGCAGGGAGCCCGATGTTGATCCCAGGATTCTGGGATCATGACCTGAGCCAAAGGCAGGCGCCTAATGACTGAGCCACCCAGGCGCCCCTACCCCTGGAAATATTTTAATCTAAACCTGTTCACATCTAAGAAATTCTGGGTAAATTATCTTATTTTGTACCATTCCTTCATTTCCTTAAATTTCCTTGGGACCAAGGAGTTTACACTATTAAAAACTCACTGCTCTAGTCTCCAGAATAAAAGTAACTCATGGGCTGTTTGTGCAGTCCCTATGTCTCCTTTGGCCCTAATGGTGTCCTTAAATAAAAATCTCAACTACCACTTAAAAATCAAGAGCTATTGGGCCGCCTGGGTGGCTCCATTGGTTAAGCGTCTGCCTTTGGCTCAGGTCATGATCCCGGGGTCCTGGGATCAAGCCCCACATCAGGTTCCCAGCTCAGCAGGGAGCCAGCTTCTCCCTCTTTGTCTGCTCCTCCCCCCACCTCCCATTCATGCTCTCTCAAAATAAATATTTTTTTAAAAATCAAGAGCTATCACACACTAACAAAATAAATAAATAAAATATCTGGATTCTCTCAAAAAATCAGAAGAGCTGGCAAAATGGGGCCTGTGTTTCCTCACATCCGTTAGCTGGAACTGGGCACTGGATATTATCCTCTTTAGCTACTGTCACAACCAGGTTCATTTCTATTATTCTTTTAATAGGTACCTATAGTTTGCTAGTTTCTTTAGTATGCTTGCATATATCTTCATGGATGACACCAAAAAATAGCTTTCCTTTTTGGGTGTCCTAAGATTGTTCTAACATCAAGATTATATCTGAGTATGTTACGAGATGTCTAGGGGCACTTGGTGGTTAGGTGTCCAAGTCTAGATTTCAGCTGAGGTCATGATCTCAGGGTTGTTAGATCGCGCCCCAAGTCAGGCTTGCACTGGGTGTGGAGCCTGTTTGAGATTCTTTCTCTCTCCCTCTCCCTCTGCCCATCTCCCCATCTCTCTCTCTCTAAAAAAAAAACCAGTTGATAATGTTTTGCTGAAACTTGGTTTGGTGCTTCATTAGTAGTAATAGTTACTATATCACACTAAAGTTCCCCTTTTCTGTGTTTTTATAAATCTTCCAAGAGTTCTCTGAGACAATGCTGTAATTTTTATTTTCCTAAAAAATAATTTAGGTTTTCAAATGTATCAGAAAGAAGCATTGTATTTAACATTTTATTTATTTTTATTATTTATTTAAAAAATTTTAAAGATTTTATTCATTCATTTGAGAGACAGAGAGAGAGCAGTGGCGGGGGGAGAGGCAGAGGGAGAAGCAGATTCCCCGCTGAGCTGGGCGTCCAATGTGGGGCTCAATCCCAGGACCTAGCAATGCTTAACCATCTGAGCCACCCAGGTGCCCCTTTTATTTTTAGTTTTTTTTAAAGATTTTAAGTAATCTCTACACCCAACTTGGGGCTTGAACTCACAACCCTAAGACCAAGAGTTGCACGCTCCACTAAGCCAGCCAGGCACCCCTAATATAACATTTTAAATCAGTAACTCTAAGGTTTCTCTTTGTGTATTTATCCATTTTTCAAACATGATTGTCTTTTCATACTTTTCCATCAGTTTCACAATGGTTTGTCTATATTTTTATTTGTTTTTATGTTAGGTATTATATGATGTAGTAAAAAGGATGCCAGTCTGAGTGAAGTCCTTCGCACATGGTACACACATTACTTTCCCCACCAACACCTAGGATTATTTCATGTTCCATATGAAAGAAGTCACGATGGAAAATTTTCTGAATTCATTACCCTGAGTGGTGTCTTTTTTCAACTGTATGTCCTGCCTGATGTTCAGCAAGTTCTGCAGAAACTGTTGTTTTGCAACCAATAATACTAATGACAACAATGAATAAAATAATGACCAACATTCAGTGAGTATTTATTATATGACAGGCACAATTCTAAGCAGTTTATGTGTCTTAATTTATTTGATCCTCACACAAAATTTTGAGGTAGGTGTTATAATTATCCCCATTTTATAATTTCTACTGAGACAAATATGTATAAAAACATAGAAAAATGCTTAAGAAAGATAAATACTAAACAGATAATGACTATCCTTCAGAATGGGAAATGGGTACAAGGATGGTAGTCGTATGTTTGCCTTATTTGCAATGTTTAAATCTTTTAAAAGGAAAATACGTTCATGCATTATTTCTGCAATTAAAATACATGATACAAAGATATGCCTAGGGAGAATTTTCATCAGGAAACTGTGAATAATGGCAAAAACTCTGGGAAACTACAATTTCTTTCAATAGGAATTTGATAAAATGATATCACACATCCTTATATTGCAACATAAGGAAACACCAGGAAGCAATGAAAGGATCTCTATTTACTGTGTTAAGTTTTTCATCACTGTTTTTACAAGAAGAAAGCCTAAGTTTTGTAAATAACAAAAAGAATAAGCCATCTTTGAATAAAGAGATCACTTCTTTCAAGTTTTAAAGGTGTTTTACAAACTGTGATGTAAAGAAATTGGACTTTATAAATTTAAGATGGGTTAAAATACTAAGGATATAGCACTATAGACAAATTAGGGGGGAAATGAAAATTAGGATTATATTTCACATGAATTCTGAGGTTTAAAATAAGGTTAAAAAGGTGTCAAAAGTGCTATGATTTTCAGTATTTGCTAGCTTGAATTATCTAATGTCAAAAGAAATATATGCTTTTATTAAAGGGCTTCCAAAATATATTCTACTCATAGGGTGTTTCTCCTACATGATTTTTCTCAAGTTGAATAAGCTAGAATCAACAAAGAAGATGTTTTCACATTATTCTATTTAAAGGGATTATTATCAAGGTAAATTCTCTAATGTTGAATAGTTTTGAGCTGTAATTAAAAGCCTTCCTACAGATTTCATATATTCTATGGTTTATCACCAGTACAAATTTTGATGTTGAATAAGTTGTGAGCCATAATTAAAGGTCTTTCCACATTCCCTATATTCATAGGGTTTCTCACCACTATGAATTCTATGATGACTAATAAGTTGTGAACTCTGAGAGTAGGCTTTCCCACATATCTTACATTCATAGGGCTTCTCACCAGTATGAATTCTCTGATGTCGAGTAAGGTCTGAACCAGAACGAAAAGCCTTTTCACATTCCTTACATTCATAGGGTTTCTCACCTGTATGAATTCTCTGATGTTTAATAAGTTGTGAGCTCTGACTAAAGGCATTGCCACATTCTTTACATTCATAGGGTTTCTCCCCCGTATGAATTCTCTGATGTTGAGTAAAGTTTGAGCCACTACTAAAAGCCTTCCCACATTCTTTACATTCATAGGGCTTTTCACCAGTGTGAATTCTCTGATGTCGAGTGAAGTTTGAGCCACTACTAAAGGCCTTTCCACATTCCTTACATTCATAGGGTTTCTCACCAGTGTGAATTCTGTGATGTCGAGTAAGGTCTGAACCACAAATAAATGTTTTCCCACATTCCTTACATTCAAAGGGTTTCTTGCCAGTATGAATTTTCTGATGATGACTGAGTCTTGAGGGATGTCTAAAGGCCTTTCCACATTCCTTACATTCATAGGGTTTCTCAATGGTATGAATTATCTGATGTGTACTAAGTTGTGAGTCATGTCTAAAGGTTTTCCTATATTCCTTAGTTGCACAATATTTCTCTTTATTATTAATGATTTGCTGTAATGTAAAGGATGGATGCTGACTGAAAGTGGGCATGCCTTCATGGGTGAATATCAGTTGACTGAAGTGTCCCTCCTGAGAGCCATGTTGTTTCTCAAACTGGCCATTACATTCCCAATCATCTCTGAAACTAGAGCACTGAAGGTCATGTCTTGTAAGTCTTTCCATTATCTCCCACTGCGCTGACTCTATTTCATAAATTTCCTTCTTCAGAAATAATTTCTTGGTCTCACATCTTGATTCCAGGACTGAAAGAAAATATGAAAGTAATCACTCACATTTTTCTTGTTTGGGAGAAATAAAACTTCAATAAAAATGGAAGAATTAAACTGAACTTTAAAAAAATAGACAAGAAAAGAGCGAGGACAGATCATGTATTAAGATGAGGGCAGTAATAAGCTATTGGTTTCCAAACATTGCTATGGATCAGAATTACTTAGGGGAAATTGCTGAACATAAAGATGACTTAAGTCTTATCTCCCTTGTTACAAAATGACTCTAATCATAAATACACATATAAAATCTCACAGCATATGCACACACAGCTATAAGAGCATCCCCCAGATGAACTGTAAAATAAGGGAAATGATCATACCTACTTAAAAGAGTTATTATCAGGATTAAATGAATATGTCTAAGAAAAAATTCCCAGGCTTTGGCATACTTGGCCTGCAGCACTGCAACAATTTTTATAAGTAAAGATTTATTGGAAGACAGTTACACTTAACTTGTTTAGATATTGTCTATGACTGCTTTTAAGCTACAATGGCAGAACTGAGTAGTTGTAACAGAGAACACATTGACTGCAAACTTAAAAATATTTATTACCTGGCCCTTTAGGAAAATGTTGCCAGCCCCTGGTTAGATCTATGTTGTCCATTACAGTAGCCATGAGCATATGTGTGTATTTAAATTTAACATAATTAAAATTAAATAAAAATCAAATTTAATTCCTCAGTGGCACTATCCACATTTCCACTGGCCAATTGTGGCTAATGACTACCATGTTGGAAATGACAAACTTAGGATATTTCCATCATCGCTGAAAGTTCTATTGGACAGCACTGGTCTAGATTCTGCAACTGGAGGCCCAGAGTCTCTTTAACAAATGATAAGGAAATAGAGGGTGGCAATCTAGATGGGAGAATGAATGAATCTAGTGTGAGTGGTAGATAGCGAGGGTTCTTTTGTGGCTAAATATGGAATATGTTTGGGGTTTGATGAAAATACTTTTTGGCTTGGAATTCTGTGATGCTGATCTTAGAAGAGAAAAGGACTTAACAAGTACATAAGCATTATGATAGCGATGACCAACTGACAGGAAGGGTATTTGTAGGTTTAAAGAGAAGGAAGAGAATATAAAGGCAGTGTTCTGTGCTACTGGAAGTTCAGAGTTACCAGATTCAGTCATGAATTTTGAACTCACACTCAGGTTAATTACAAGCTTTGTTTTCTTGGCCAAAGTAGTTCCTTTTTCTGAGCCCTCAATTCTCTGTTTATATAATAGAAGTAATAACTCTTATAATCATTGTGAGGATTATAAATAATATATAAAAAGTATTTGGCATAAAATAAGTGTTAGTATTTGAGAGATAATACGAAAGAATCTCTATACAAAAATGGGGACATTAGGCAGTGAAGTGTTTTGAAGACCACACTATGGGCCTAGTGGGAAAGCCTCAAACCAAAAAAGTGAAAATCATTCGAGTACCATCGTCTCTTTCTCTCATATAATTATTCAGCAAATACCTCCTAATCTTGCTCCTAAATATATCTTGTAACTCTTCTTCCTATCTTTAATAAAATATCTAATACATCTCTTGAACTATCAGGACAGCCTCTTTCTTTCCTAGTTTCCCCACTTGAGGTTTGCAATCTTAAATCCATCCCTTATATTTCTCTTACAATAAAAGCCAAACTGCTGAACATGGTCTACAAAGCTCTGAATGACCTAGTTGCTGCCTGCCTCTTCAAACAAATCTCAAGCTATGCTCCCTTTTGGTTGCTAGGCTCCATCCATGCTGGCCCTATTTTGCAGTTCTTCAAATGATCCCAGTTTTTAGTCCCTTTCCAAATCTCTAAAGGTCATACTTTTTGAGGCCTTCCCTGACTCCATGACCAAATTATATCCTCCCTGTAATTACACTTTTAGCACTCTGTTCTCTTCCTTAACAGGATTTTCAGAATTTGTAATTACATATTTATTCAGGTTCACTTAATATCTTTTCCCCTGAATAGGTGTTAAGGTCCTTGTGTTTACTTCATTTTAAAAGTAAAATATCTATTGTCTTCACCAATATGTATCCAATTCTAAGCACAGTATCTGATACATACTGGAAGATCAACAAATATTTATTAACTGACTCAATTAGCAAGTATTTGAATATATACTCCTTAATAAAAGATGTCTTTAAAAATTCCTCTAGAAAAAAAAGGATACACTCTTTTCAAACACCACACAGTGAATATATACATTTATTACTGTTCCTTCAAGAAGTCCCACTAAAGTGATAGTGATGAGATTAAACAAAAGAAGAAACTCCATAAGGACAAAGAATAGGAGAGGAAAGAGCAACAATCACATTTTGGAAGCTAGAGTAGAGGTAATGGTAATAAATAATGTGTCAACCATAAACACACTGAAACCTAGGTTGCAGATTGGTCTTACTGTACAATCTAGTTATTTCCAAGAACTGCAATCAACAGGTATCTTTGAAAGCTGGGTGCATGAGGGGCTGCAAAAAGGAAAATTAACTGAAAATCTGTAAGAAACAGACAGACCTCAGATTCTCAAATCTACCCCATACAGCAGGCTGATCCCCCAGCCTGATATCCTCAGTAAACTTTCAGAATCTGGCAGTCAAGCTCATTTTATTGATTCCTAGAAAGAAAGTAGAGGATTCCATTCTGGAGAAAACCAGCCCAATAGAGAAGACTCGATAAGTTGTATCAGTCAATGAGCTGTTCTAAGTAGATCACTCTACAGTACCTACCACCAATAAATTTACACATTCTCAGATGTAAATGAGCTCAGATCAACTTTTTACTACCACAGTTTTATATGAGCAGACAGCCTTGAGTCATTAACAATTTCAGGAAAATCTTAAACATGAGAGATTAAAATGAACAAAGAAAAAAACTCAGGAAAGAGAGACAGTGGAGAAAAATTTAAAAATTCAGAAAAAGAATGCTTCTAAAAACATAACAATCTCATAAGAGAATAATGTCAGAAAAAATATTCAAAGAACAATGAGAATTAGAACTTAATAAAATCTCACAGAAAGTACAAAAAATATGAAAAATAGAAAAAAAAATTCTAGAGCTAAGACAAGAAATTCAAGATCTCAATTAGGAGTGTTCAATCATTCAAAAAATTTAATGAGCCCATACTATGTGTCAGACATGGTGCCAGGCACTGGAAATAAAAAGTGAACATTCAAATTTGAAACAGAGAAGATAATGGGGAATAAATAATCAAGAAAATAATACAAGAAAATCTCAGAGATTTGGTTTCTAGAATGAAATGTCTCAGTGAGTGGCCAAATGAAAGAATAAAATCAACATCATGATACCTCAACTTGAAATATTAGAACATTATAAAGAATAAATTCTAAAAGTTTCCAAAGAGATTAAACAAATCACATAAAAGAATTAAGAACCTGAATGTGTTTTAGATTTCTCAATGACATTAGATGCTAAATTTTATTTTATTTTTTATTTTTTTTGAAGATTTTATTTATTTATTTGACAGAGAGAGAGATAGCGAGAGCAGGAACACAAGCAGGGGGAGAGGGAGAAGCAGGCTTCCTGCCGAGCAGGGAGCCTGATGTGGGACTCGATCCCAGGACCCTGGGATCATGACCTGAGCTGAAGGCAGACGCTTAATGACTGAGCCACCCAGGCGCCCTAGATGCTAAATTTCAAAAATCCATGGAACAATGCCATCAAAACTTTGAAGTTAAGTTTTTCAACCTAAAATTACATCTCCAGTCAAATATCCATGAAAAATGAAGGTGAAATGCAAACATTTTCAGACATATAAGGGTTCATAAAATACACTATTTACTTTTCTTGAATACTTTCCTTGGTTTCTTTTGGGACATGTGCCTTAGAATAATGAAGGAATAAACCAAGAAAGAGGATGGCAAGAGATCCAAGAGTCAAAGTATATCAATGTATCCAAGGCATCCAAATATAGAAGCGATCAAAAGAAATTCAAAGGAGTATGGTGAAGGGAATCAATGGGATGATAATGAAGAGAAATTCTAAAATGATAGCTATGTAATAGTCTCAACTGGGACAGAAGAACAGAAGGTTAGAGGAGAAATGTCTCTTAAAAAATAAACCAGTTACCTGATGTGTCTGAAAAGAGATTAATGAGAGATACTGAGAAAACTGAGCAATTCTCAATTAAGACAAGGATTAATTGCATGGAAAAGAACAAGTCATATAGGAAGTGAAATGTGACTAGAGCTCAGCAATGAAAGACATTTTACATAGTCATTAAGTGAACTGAATAATAATTTAATTTAAAAATCATGCTACTTGGAAGATGAAGGTGTACGCTAAATCTTCAAATTCCACAGTGAAAAGTCAATTATCACTAAAACAAGAATTCATGAAAAAAATTCTCAGAGAAAGGATAAAAATGATGACAAAAAAGTAGTAAGAATCATGGGGAGGGAGAATTATATTTAAAAAATGAGTTCTGGGGGCGCCTGAGTGGCTCAGTTGGTTAAGCGACTGCCTTCAGCTCAGGTCATGATCCTGGAGTCCCGGGATCGAGTCCCGCATCGGGCTCCCTGCTCAGCAGGAAGTCTGCTTCTCCCTCTGACGCTCCCCCATCTCATGCTCTCTCTGTCTCTATCTCATTCTCTCTCTCAAATAAATAAATAAAATCTTTAAAAAAAAATGAGTTCTGGATGATGCAATGATGCAGATCTAACAATGAAACAAATTTTCAGGGCTGAACAAAATTGTTAGTAATCACAGAGCTCCTTTCTGTGTTGAGCAGAACTTATGAAGAGTTTTAACTGGATATATCTTGGTAGAATTTCTGAAGTTCAAAGAAAAAGAGAACTTCACAGAAGTAAAAACCTGATGAATCAGGTTGTATCTTATTCATGCATTTTTGTTTGACGTTGCCCCCAACAGTTCTCTAAAGTTTTGATTTAGTTATTATAAGCCTTGAGATATCAGATTTAATATGAAAATCTGGATTTCTGATTTCCTGAAAAACATTATCTGG